AAAATCAGAAAATTCCTTAATAGATTGTGGGAAAGCTTCTAGGCATAATATATTTTCACTTCAGCAAAGTCTTATCTCAGGTAACCCTGACTACACAGACAAACCTCCAGGTGGCCTCAACTACTCTATAAAAGAATGGAAATGACCAGCTGTCTGCAAGGAGTATAAATCCTTCTATTCCCTACAATCCAATCAGAGCTGAGGAAGCTTCTTGGATGAGAAGTGAAATGTCTTCAAAGAAAAACAAGGAAATCCAGTTGCCTCTTGAAAAAGCAGCTTTGGGACAACCATGACCTGGATGACTGAGAATCTCCATAGACATTTGTCCAATAAAGTAATGGTTAAGTTTAACTATGTGAAACATGATTTAGGGGAAAGATGATAGCATTCTTCAAATACCTAAAAGAATGTCACACAGAAAGTCAAGGCTTATTCTCTCTTTTTATTTTGGAGTGAGGTCTCATCAAAGTACTAATAGTTATGTATCTTTGCCTCAATGATGATTGCACTGGCATGCTGTAGAGGCTTTGACTTAATGTTTAGGCTCTGTTGGGGTCTGAGTCAACAGCAGTAACTTTAAGAGAGATCTAGGAGTCCTGATGGACAATCACTTAAGTATGAGTCAGCAGTGTGCAATGCAATCTTAGGTTTCATTAACAGAGGAAAAGAATCAAGATAACATGAAATGTTATTACTGCTATATACTGCCTTGGTAAGACCACACTTGGAATACTGCACTCAGTTCACAATATAAAAATATGTTGAGACTCTAGAAAGAGAGCAGAGTAGAGCAACAAGGATTATAAGGTGCCTGAAGGCTAAAATATACGATGAACAGATGCAGGAGCTGGGCGTATCTAGTCTAGTGAAGAGAAGGACGTGACATGATAGCTGTCTTCCAATATTTGAGAGGCTGTCAGAAAAAGGGAATCAACCTAATTCTCCAAAGCCTCTGAGGGTAGGACAAGAAGCAATGGATGGACTCTTAGCAAAGAGTGGTCCAACGTAGAACTAAGGAGAAATTGTCTGACAGCAACAACAATTAATCAGTGGAATGCTTTGCCTTCAGAAGTTGTGGATGTTCCATCACTGGAGGTTTTTAAAGAAGAGATTGGACAGCAATTTGTCAGGAATGGAACAGGTCTCCTGCTTGGCAGGTGATTGGACTAGAAGACCCCAAAGTCCCTTCCAATCTGTTATTCTGTATTCTGTTATTATTAAAATATAGCAGTTCACTTATTGGCTGGTGAAAAGCAACCAGAGGTACAAACATCTGCACTATGGGCATTGGATTGGCTTCCAATAGTTTTTCAGATGCAGTCCAAAGTGCTGATTTTAAGCCATAAAGTTCTTTATAGCTCTACTAATTGTGCTGTCTGTTGTGTTCTTAACAGCCAAGCGTCTTCTTGATTACTGAGGTTACAAAAGGGAGAAATAAATAAAGCACTTTAGTTTCAGAAAAGCAGAATCCAATTAAAAACCTTCCTAACACTAAGAATATTTGACAGCAGATCCAATCATTCAGGTTGCTAATATGCTGTTGTTCACTGAATAGGTTCAAGCAGGAGCTACATAGTAATATTACTGGAGGCTTTCATTTAAATTCTTGGTCTTGGACTCAGTGGTCTAAATTGGTTCCGTCTCTGGGACCAACTACTTTGTGAGCTGCTGAAGCCCCTCCGTTGGCTGCATTCAAGCAGAGGCAGAACGATTATTAGTCAGGGATGCTTCAGTTTAGATTTCTGTACTAAACAGAGTGTTGGATTTGATGGTCAGATACGTCCTTCTAACATCTTGTTTCTGTAATTCTCCAGTAAGCTTAGAATGCTTCTTTTTGATCTTGTCACTCTGGTGGCCTTAAGTAACCATCAAATTTCAGCTGCAGGAAACAGTGAAAAAGAAAGACAGGTGTTTATCAAAATTTAGTATAAGCTGATATAGGCAGTACCTTAAAACCCAGAAACAGGCCAGTCTACTTGCAAGACAATAGGGACCACAATGTATGCATTATTTATAGTACTGCTGGTGAAATGAAACTAGCAAACATGAGCTGTTCATTTTTTAATAGGCTACATGTTACTTTATCTGTCTACAAGCAGAACAAATGCTGTCACCTGTCAGTTTCCCCAATACAAATGATAGATGAATGAGCTTCTGCAGAGGACATGATGATGATGATGATGATGATGATGATGATGATGATGACAATGATAGTTTTCCCCCCATTTCTTGAAAGTAGTAGCAACTGCATATCCTCCCCTATTGTTTCATCAAAAATTTTAAGCTGTTATTTTTTTTTAATTTCCCACTCTTCTACTCCCCATCCCTGGAATTCTGCTCCAGAATATTGCTATCCCTCCTGCTTTCTATCCAATTCTTAAAACCAGGTTCCCCCCCTTCTTTTTAATCTTTTTACCCTCTTATCCCTGTTTCTCAACAGAATATGAAACTTGAGTATCCTTACCTGTCAATTGTTCCTTTCTTGACTTTTATTTTCATTGCCCTTCCTATTTTCTGTTGGTTTCCCCGCAGAATTTTTGACTATGTGCTTTTTAAGGCTACAGAACGGCCTGATTTGGCATTTTAAAGCAATATCTAATGTGGAGTGATAGAAGGGTGGATAAGATGGAATCATTGCACTTAACTGATTTTTAAATACGCCCATCAAATATAGATAGATTCAGGGGACCTCACTGAAACTCTATGCTCAATGGCAATGCACATATAGTTTTCAGCACTAGACTTTGGAATACAAATGGGAGTCAGATTGATAGATGCTTTGAAGATCATTATGTAATCTGACTAACCATTTGTCAGACCTGGAAGTCATCTTTTACATTTGGGCCTTCATACCCCAGAAGGAACAATTAAATCAGATTGGTTGGGTTCACCCAATAGGCTGAATGGGCTTGAACAGCCTGTGGTTCAACAAGTCTTCACATCTTGCATAACGTGTCATTGTGTTAAAGTGTAATATCATTTATTTGCTTGCAGATAGAATACTTTGGAAACATAACAATGGGTGTTTATTTAACCTAGTTCAATTTTAAACAATTGACTGAAGCTACCAACTGTGGGGATCAAGCAGTGCATCAAAACAAATACCTAGGCATCTTCAGTTGTGCTGCAATTCATAGCATCAAATGTAGTAGCTTGATCATCAACCAATTTCGTTGTATTTAAGTACAATGACAATAAAGATTATACTTATACTTATTTCTCAGTTGGGCTTGGTAGTGCTTTAAGAACAATGGTGGGTTCTGGATCCTGTTCCAACCGGTACGGTTGGAACGAGCCTGGCGTCGCCCACATGCACACGCATGCCACACGCATGTATTGTACCTGCACGCAACGCCTCCGCAAGCCTCCGCAACACTCCAGCTACTCGGCGGAGCATAGTGCAGGCACCTTAGGCACCATGCACGTGTGTGGAAGCGCCAAAGGCTTAAAGGACAGATAAGGAGCTCGGGAGGGCAGGTGGGCCCTCTGGAGCACCAAACAGGAACGGTACCCGGTGCTCCGGGCAGGTTCCGGTACGCCCATACCGGGGCGTACCTCCTGCAACCTACCACTGTTTAGGAACTACTCTGCAGCTCCACTCAATGACATCCCTTACAAATGGCAGTCCCTTACACTCTCCAATAGACAGGGGTGGGCTTCAAAATTTTTAGCAAGTGGTTCTCTGCCCAGTTGCTGGGTGGATGTGGCCATGGTGGGCATGACCTATTTGGCATCTTGAACCACTGGGGGAGGCGTTTTGGCCCCCTGGAGGCCGGAAACACCTATTTCCCGTTTCGGACCCTCCCAAACTTTCAGTAGGCTCATTTTTAACACCACCCCCCCGAGCCTCTGTGTATGCCCTGCACCTACCTGCATCCAAAACAGACCATGTGAAGACTCCTGGGAGGGGCAGGGTGGGTGGGGCCAGCCAGGAGTGGGTTTTGGGGAGTTCTCCAAACTGCACAGAATCTTAGCTAGAGGTTCTCCTGAACTCCTGCGAACTCCCAGCCGTCTACCCCTGCAATAGAGTGACTCAAGAAGGTGTCACCAGGTGATCTGGATGGGCTCCAAGGCTGGTGCAGCAGGATGGAGAAAGAGAGACACAGATGTTTAATTAGGGTATGTCATTATAATTAATGGTATAATTTCTTCTGACTTTAGCTTTGGGGAAAGGGCAAAATCATATCTGGCACCATGTCCAAATATTGATATTGCAGTCAGAAGCTGGCAAGATAGCAACATGGTACTATTAGTCACAGGGAAGTCTGGAGAAGTGGGACATGTTTTGTAAATGCAATCTGTAGCTTCCCTGAGGCAGACTGCACTTAAGCACTTTTGCACAACAGCTAGCTGAGGGTTCCCGAATGTGCATATGGGATAAAAGGAAGGATTGCTATTGTATTGTAGCTGGTGAATCTCTCTCTGCTGCTGGAATTGCTTATATGAATAATCCCTCATTTCACCTTCTGTGACCATCCCAGATAACTTTCTGTAAGAACAACCAAAAGGGACGCGGTGGCTCAGTGGCTAAGATGCTGAGCTTGTTGATTAGAAAGGTCGGCAGTTTGGTGGTTCTAATCCTTAGTGCAGCGTAACGGAGTGAGCTCCCATTACTCTTCCCAGCTTCTGCCAACCTAGCAGTTCAGAAGCATGCAAAAATGCAAGTAGAAAAATAGGAACCACCTTTGGTGGGAAGGTAACAGCGTTCCATGCTCCTGCAGCATTTAGTCATGCCAGTCACATGACCACGGAGACGTCTTTGGACAGCGCTGGTTCTTTAGCTTTGAAACAGAGATGAGCTCGCCCCCTAGAGTCAGGAACAACTAGCACACATATGCGAGGGGAACCTTTACCTTTAGGAACAACCACATGAGAGGATTTATTTTAAAAAAGGCAGGATCAAGTAAAGCTTCCTCCCAAAATCCTTCCCCCTGAGCTGTTTTTCACTTCAAATATTATTTGAGGGATCATTTATCTGTATTTGCATATTATATACCATTAGTTTCTCTCTCTCTATTTTTGTGCTGTTCTGATCTTGTCACTGTTCTCCTCTAATGCTTGCTTCCTGCTGTGTTTAAGTTTCTAGTCCTTAAAGGCATAAGGACGATATGTCAGTGGAAAGAGGATCCCCTATGCACACTGTTGTTATCATTCCAGCAATGATATTTCACACAGGGAAATAACTCCTGCCTGCAACCTTTAGAAACTGCTGGCAAAGAGAATAGAAAATTAATCATTCTTTGGATATATGGACAGGGCAAAGCTCATTGGGAGAGTATCTGTATCATTTTCAAAAGGTCCTGCTTTCAATCTTCAGTATTTCCAATTAAAGGGGAGCTGGGGATGGGAAATAACTTTCTTTGCCAGAAATCCTGGAGCGTAACTGTCTGTCAAAGCTGACAATGTAGGCTAGGGGAATCAAAGTCTTTCCTGAGTGAAGTCAGCTACCTGTGTCCCTAATCACTTACAGTTATGTACCAGTCTATCTTCAAAATGCTTGCCCTTCAACTGGATTTGCACAATACACCAGACTAGGCTAAAATGAGCTTTGATAATTTGGTGTAGTGTGTGGTGTGAACCTGATGATTGTGTAAAGTCATAATCTAGTTTATTTGCATATGTCACCTTCTCTGAACAAAGCAATTGTACTTTGGTAATCCAACTTTATTATTTTCCTGGGCTCCAAGATCACTGCAGAATGGGATTGTAGCCAAGAAATTAAAAGACGCTTGCTCCTGGGGAGGAAAGCTATGGCAATTCTAGACAGCATACAAAAAAGCAGAGACATCACCCTGCCAACCAAAGTGTGTATAGTCAGGGTTATGGTTTTCCCAGTTGCAGTGTATGGCTGTGAAAGTTGGACCATAAGAAAGTCTGAGCGCTAAAGAATTGAGGCCTTTGAACTATGGTGCTGGAGAAGATCGCTGTGAGTCCCTTGGACTGCAAGATCAAACTGGTCAGTCCTAGAGGAGATCAACCCTGCCTGCTCTTTAGAAGGCCAGATCCTGAAGATGAAACTCAAATGCTTTAGCCACCTAATGAGAAGGAAGAACTCACTGGAGAAGAGCCTAATGCTGGGAAAGATTGAGGGCAAAAGAAGAAGGGCAGAATAGAGAATGAAGTGGCTGGATGGAGTCACTAAAGCAATTGGCGTGAGTTTAAATGGGCTCCAGAGGATGGAAGAGGACAGAAAGGCCTGGAGGAATGTTGTCCATGGGATTGCGAGGGGTCAGACACGACTTCGCAACCAACAACAACAACAACAACAACAGCTACTGAGCCTTGCCTAATCATACCATAGTATCTTGGATCTACCCAGAGGCTGAATTAAGCTTTTAGGCATGATGAGAACAACCATCACCAAACCCAAGGAATGGGAATCTGGGATAACATTGTTGAGTGAGATTTCATAGTTATACTTTAATGGATTAGTGTTATGTATAGTGCCTGCAGATTGGAAATGAAAGAAACATAGAATCTAAAATTTGAATAAGACTGATATTACATAAATCATTCTCAAGAATATGAAATTTTCATGATCATGCTCCCCTGACATTATTCAATCCTGAAAGTGATCCGTATTTTATTATGCTCCACATCTGGAGAGCTTTTATATCAAGCTGCATCAAAAGGATTGAAATATAAATCACAAAAATTAAGGCTAAAAGTAATGTGAACAATCACGATGATGACAAGTTTCAAAATCACCTACATAATTCATCACACATCAGAATTAGCTTGCTTGTATCCTATATCACTGAAGCAGTCGGCGTGAGCTTAAATGGACTTCAGAGGATGATAGAGGACAGGAAGGCCTGGAGGAATGCTGTCCATGGGATGTCGATGGATCAAATACAATGTTGCAACTAACAACAATAACAAATCCAACTTTAGAGTTTAAAAAATCACACAAATGCAAGTTTATGCTGTCTCTCCCTTTCTTGCTATTTTTTTTCCCTACAGGAACCTAATAATGCAGAAGATTTGTTTTCTAAGAATCTCACTATCTTTTCTGCTTGCTTTCTAGACTCATTGGTATATTCCAGATGGTCCTGCAGAAAGTGGTGGAAGAAGGACAATTGAATGTGACGGACACCTTGATCGATGACAACAATGTGTCAATTCAAGTAAATATTGTAGCTTTGCCCAAGAGGAGGTGGCACCATTTGTATTCTGTCCATGGTCTTCTGAGATGATTGATTGGGGTTTTTTTTTTACTCCAACGATGGTGTTTCCATAATACTTAGATAAGCAGTTGTGCATCCAGATCAAAATCCAACCTTTTGCATAGCTTCTTTCACTGCCTATGGATGGAGATGATAGACACTTGTCCTGAGATTGCATTGTTCATGGGAAAAGGGTAAAGAACAATTTAATAGCAATAGAAATAGCTTTAGATTTATATACCACCCCATAACTCGGGTTACTTTTTAAAGCATTATTTCCATATTGCCCTCAACAATCTTAGTCCTCATTTTATTGACCACGTAAGGATTGAAGGCTCAGTCAACCTTAAGCCCCATCAGGATCAAACTCCAGGCTGTGGGCAGAGTGAACCTGAAATATTGAATTCTACCACAGCACCTCTGTTGATTTGAAAATCAGGTGCTACAATATAAACCTACCTTTGTTGCTTATTTCTCAGTTTGATCTGGTCTTTATGCATTCATGTTATATTGAACCTATAGTAGAGTCACCTTTTGCTGACACAAACCTTTCCCCAATGAAATCAAGTCACAGGTTGCATACAGTTGACTTTAGGTAACTATGAAAATAATTGGGGATTTCAAATCAGTCCTTGTGGATATTTGTAAGCCCCTTGCTAAAGTCTTTGCCCAACTCCAGTTCATATGAATGTCAAGTTCATGTTTAAACCTCCTCCTTACATCATGAAGAAATGTTTAAAAAGGTCATAGATCATTTTTTAAAAAAAAACCACTATAGAATCATGTTCTGACTGTATAGTCCAGGGGTTAGCAATCTGCAGCTCTGGAGCCGCATGTGGCTCTTTCATCCCTTTGCTGCAGTTCCCTGTTGTTGGTTAGCTCCACAATTGATAGGGCTTTTAGTTAGGACAGATAGAGGAAAAAGAATGCCGTGCTAACAGATGACTCTATGGTGGGGGAATTGGACTTCCGGTTGGCTCCAGAATTGAACAGGGGGCTTCTGGTTAGGGCCTTTGTGGCTCTTTGAGTGTTTAAAGTTGCCTACCCCTAGTATAGTCCATAGAGTTCCATTACACAAACGTCCCAGCTGTTCAAGGGTGCAACTTAATGGGTTTATTGAAGAACATGAAGGACCAGCATTTGAAAATAGTTGGATTTTTTAAAAACAGTGCAAGGTTCTCTCTCTCCCCCCCTTTCTCTTCCTCTCTCTCTCTCTCAAATCAATATTTAATTTCTTTTTCAGTAAGTATACACAACAGGATGTATAGTAATATAAAAATCTGCTACTTTCTAAATTGTGTTTTAAAGTTTGCTTCTGCCTCCAAGTTTTTTTGTTTTCTTTTTGGTCACACTTTGTTTTCAAACATTGCTTTTACCATGACCTTACATTCACCCAATTTTAGCAATCAGAGCTCTTTAACCCCTGGCTAAAATCACCCAATGTTCTATGTCAGTATAGAAATGTTTGGGTAAGGCATGTAATTTACTACCTTATTCAGTAACCATGGGAGCCACACATAGAAAAAGAAAGCAAGTTAGGAACCTCCCTTCTATTCTTCCCCCCTCCCCCCCCCATTTCTGTTGTAGTTCAGTAGACCTATGTCTGGATTAGCCGGACAAAGAGTCTGGAAAGTCATTTTGCAAAAATATTTAATCAGTTTTACTGATTTGAAAGAGACTAGGGAGAGGTTGCAAAGCTGTGGATTTTGCTTTACTTTGTTTTCCATTGGAAAAGGATTTTTAATAAACGTTAAAAATTAAAATTAGACATAATCTGTTTGCAAGAAATTCACAAAAAAAACATATGAAAGTATTGGAATATCCCAAAATTGGGAAGTTATATACTTTACCACAACAAAAGAAGAGGGGAATAGCCCTATATGTAAAAGAGACAATAAATGCTAAACAAATTTTTATGGATGCAGAAGGGACACTTTTGATGGTGGAGCTAACAATGAATAATAAACCGATAGCAATCTATGTACCAAATTCTACTCAAGAGGACTTTTATGGAAAACTCCATAAAAAAAATAACAGAATTGGAATGTGAAAATATATGTATTTTGGGAGACTTCAATGCAATTACAGATGTGGAAATGGACTATAAAACTAGAAAGGTAAATAAAAAACAAGGAAGACACTCCCTAAGGTCTTTTTTAGAATGGCAGAAGAACTAGTTATCCAAGCCCATGGCAAGAGATACACCCCAAAGAAAATCAATATTCATTTTATTCAAATAGACACATGTCTTGGTCAAGAATAGATGTGATATGGATGACAGCGGAACTAAAAGCTAATGTACAAAACATAAGTATAGAAATAAGTAATTGGGTGGATTATAATCCATTTTCCATTGTTTTCTGTCACTGTGGAACCTGAATGTATCACCCCCGTCATTGGTGTATCTCTGAGGAGGAATTGCAATGGAGGTTGCAATTTTAAGCTTTTATTTTGACGGCAGCGGAAGCTTTTGGCGCTTTTGCTGACATGACCCCAGAGCAACTAAGAGATCATGATCCCAAATCACCCATTAAAATACTGCTTGCTCCATAGTGAGTAAAGCTTGTGAATAAGAAATATATGACACCAATGAACCTCTATTTAGATTAACCCATTCTGCAATAGGCAGGCTGACATCAGTGACGATTGTCAGTGCAAAGCATAGATGAGGACCAATTTGACTTCCATTCAGAAGTGCTACCATCACTTGGTAAATTTAAATTTGACATAGGGTACTCTGTTTGTCAAGGAAAATATCCACTTAGTAATACTTTCTGAGTTTCAGTCCATGAAATTCTGCAGGACAGCGATGTTTTACCTGCTTTTTTGGAATACTATAGGGATGGGACTATCCTTGCCCCAGGGGAAAATATGTTTGCAAAGGACAAGGAGGTTCATAACTGTGTGCCTGTGATTTTTTTTCTTTCAGACCAGTGTTTCCATTGAGATTCGGTACCAGGCCATGGACGGCAGTGTTGGGGCTTGGAATGATGATGAATTCTTGGAGAGTCCCAGGGTCCATCCAGATGGTGATCCCTATGAAACCGATATCTTGCTTCCCAGCCACAGGCAGTCAAGCAAGACCAGCACTGCAGAGAAAGCCTTCCGGAGGTAAGGCTGTCTAACCATTTCCGTGGTGGCGCAGTGGTTAGAGTGCAGTACTGCAGGCTATTTCTGCTGACTGCAGGCTGCCTACAATTTGGCAGATCGAATCTCATCAGGCTCAAGGTTGACTCAGCCTTCCATCCTTCCAAGATGGGTAAAATGAGGGCCCAGATTATTGGGGGCAATAGGCTGACTCTGTAAACCGCTTAGAGAGGGCTGTAAAACACTTTGAAGTGGTATATGAGTCTAAGTGCTATTGCTATTTGCTAATGTCAAACGTACAATAGAAATGCTCTTGTGGAGTCCTTGGTGCTCTCTGAGCTTGGTAGTTTGCTTGAACACATTTTGTTACCTACTTGGGTAATGAAATGTCTGCAAGCCAACAGCCAAACTCAGAGAACACCCAAGACTCCACAGTACAACCCTGAGCTACAGTTATTCTGTTCCGTTGAAAGATGCACATCCCAGAACTGTGTCCTGTATCTGCTAATCCTGCCAATAGATTTACTAACTTACCTGATTTCAGATTGTCTGTGGAAAAAAAAGTCAGACTAACTGCTCCCCAAAACTGAATCACTGGGGATATAGCATGAAAATATATTGCTCCAGCAAAGACTCGCCTGCATCTGAACAGCTTAGATGTTGATGTTCCTGGTGATGGTCCCAAGGAAATAATTGATCTTGGAATCTTATGAGTACAAATTCAGGGTGAAATTAATTCCCCTTCCCTACTGGTTCGTAAATGTGAGCGCACATTTAGAAAGCATGAGAATGTTTCCAAAGAAACTTCTAGCAAAATGAGCTGCAGTGGCACAGTACTTTTAATGCAGTATTGCAGGCTACCTCTGCTGCCTGCAATTTGGCAGTTCAAATCCCACTAGGCTCAAGGTTGACTCAGCCGTCCATCCTTCCGAGGTGGGTAAAATGAGGGCACAAATTGTTGGGGGCAATAGGCTGACTGTAAACTGCTTAGAGAGGGCTGTGCACGCACTGTGAAGTGGTATAGAAGTCTAAGTGCTATTGTTATTGCTGTAATCTTTGTGTCTTAGAGCATCTAACCTAAATGTTGGAACTACATTCATGGAAGAGGCCTAAAATTTGAGCTTCAGCATCATTGGATTTTGGATTGACCCTTTTGCAGTTTCCCCAGGATATCTGTTGCCAGTATGTTTCAATCTGTCCCAAGTTCAATACAACTGCGTCCAACCCGAAATATCCTTCTTAGCTATTTATCCGTTCCATGCACCTTTGGTGTATAGCCATGCTGGCTGATATGACCCTGGAAATTATCTTTCAGATAATGCTGTCTCCCTCAACCAAGAAACAGAGATAAACGCTGTGCCCTAGAGTCGGGCACGACTAATAGGGAAACCTGGTATAAGTATTGCCAGTTTTCAATTCTTTTAGGTGTATTCTCTCCAACTGTTTTGCAAATAGGAGCAGCTTACACAGTACAGCAAAGATCTCTCTTGGGCCAGGCAAAATATAGAAAAAGCCAATTTGCTGTATGAAATGGCTTTGAACTGTCTAATTGGAGCTGTAGATCAACTACCTAGATCAATATGTAACCGTTTTGTTGCTGGGCAGAAACACTTATGCTTAGTGTTAACAAGCATAATGCACCCCTGTGTGTGTGTTGACAGCCTCATTTAGGAGAACCAAATATATGTTTGATTCCTTCCAAAGCCTGACAAGAAAAAACTGGGAGTATGAAGAAAAAGCAGCATCCATCAGGTTCAAACTTTACTAAGCTACCTAAAGAGAAACTACAGAGTAACTGAGCAATTTTAAATGCAAGAGAAGGCATACGATAAATAGCTCAGAAGGTAATTGCACATTGCTTGAAAACCATTTCTCAGAATGGTCCTGTCAGATAATGGGCATCAGTATGAATTTGCTCCATATATGACTGTTTTGTAGTTATATGGGTGACATTTACCACGTGCCAGCTGACTACAAATTTTGAGCTTTTCATTAGCTGCCAAGAAGTGACGGGTCAGGCAGCATAAGAAATCAGGAGTCGTTCCTGCAGCCAAAATAGCTCGCTAAAATCGTAGAGACTGTCAGAAGTAACAAGCCCAGGGAGAAGAATATTCAAATACGTGGTTATAGGCCCCCAACTCATTTGGTAGAAAATACTTCTTATTTCTTTGTTATCGCAATATGCATTTTTTGTTACCATTTATTTTAAAAATCCTTTCGATTGTAGAGAAATGAAGTTTTATGTAGTTATAAAGCATTTCACTGTTAGAAATGGTAGAAATTGAGTTGACCTTGTGCAGGAGTCCCCAACCCCTGGGCTGCGACCACTGCTGGGCCATGGCCTATTTGCAACCAGGCCATGGGAGCAGTGGGCCAGTGTGCATGCGCTGTGCAGGTGTGCACACACATGCCAGCTTGCCAGTTGCGCAAGTTGAGCTGCACACGGTCGTGCATGCCAGCCTGTCACTCTCGTGGTCTAGTTCTCCTCTCCCCATACTCTCTTCTGCTGGGCCACCAAGTTGCAAGGTTGGTGACTGCTGACCTAGGGGTTACATTTGACTAGTAAAAACATAAAATATCCCAATGAAATTTCAGGATTGGACATGATTCAAAGGGACAAGTTTATTGTTTTTTTTTTAATGATGTTCCAAATTCCAAAATGTAGGATTTGAACATGATAACATTTCTAACAATCTGAGTTAAAAATGTTTTCTTTAAAAAAAAGGAAAAGAGTCTACTAATGTAATATTGTTTGTTTTTCAAGAAATGACCAGTTAGTGAGAAGTTGAACTTTCGAAGCTCAGATCTTCCCTCTTGTTCTTGACGTTTCTGAATCTTTGAAGCAAAACACACAGAACCTCCTACACACCATGAAAAGTGTCATGAAAAGCTCTGTTATTTTAGACAATAAATGAAACAACTATTTAGCCATTCTCAATCTCTCAAGTTTATAGCAAACATATGCATTTCTTGACAAACCAATATTGGAAGATTTTCTCCTCATCCCCTCACCCCCAGGGTGCGCACACACACACACATTTTATTTTATTTCATATCCATTGATTGAAAATATATTTGTCAATTTTGGCTAGCTGCATTAAGGGTTTCTCCAGATGTTAGCTATTGGTTGTGCAGCTAGAGTGAATCTATAACGAATAAGTTTTG